TTGCACGGATGCCCTTTCCAGTGCTGGAACACTCCCTGCTGCAACCACTCACTTCCTTTGGGATCAGGAAGCTTTTCCTGGGTTGACTGCTGTGCTAACTTCTGTCCCCAGCTAGCAAGCACTCCTGAGAAACACCTTGCAGCAATGTCCCTGCTGGTCCCAGAAGTTGGATGTAGAAAGGAGATGGTGAAGGTCTCTTGCTCCCCAGTGCTCTGGTCTCTGACAGCTCGTGTGTGGCACCTGCTCAGCTGGAATGTTCTCACCAGCATGGGTGCTTGCCATAGGGCCCACTGTAAATGAACAGCACCCCCTCACCCTTTCCCTCAGGACAAATTTCATGTGTGAGTCGCTACCCGGCTCGCTTCGGTCTCCACTGACTTAGCTCGGATCTGTCTTCCTGGTTCCTTGTGGTCAGAGGTTGCCCTGCTCGTTGGAAAAGCACAACAAATGCCTTGTGCCACTCCCCCTTCTTCCAGTGTCCAGCTGTTCTGCTGCTCTGAACTGGACTTGTACATACCCTCAAAGTTAATGTATTTAAATGCTAAAGGAGAATGTTTAACTTTGTGGCTTTGAGACAAAGCTTTTCTTGGAGAAGTATCTCTGTGCACTTCTACTGACAAACGTCTGTCAGCACTGGAGCAGTTTTCTCCACTGCTTTGTCTGCAGGGATAACTTGTAGGTGTCTCCATTGTCGTACCAGCAGCTCACCTTTCCCCGTGGCTCAGTCCCAGGCTCTCTCTGTGCTCTTCTCTTAGGCTTGCCTTACACCTAACTCTCAGCTCCACTGCTCAGACTCTCCTGTTGTAGCACATAGAAGGGTTACTTGGTGAGCTGTGAACTCAAAGGAGCTGTCAAGCACAACCATGATGTTCCCAAGAAGGGTCGGGTGTCCTGCAAAAAGGAATCATTTGTGCATGGAGGAGAGGCCGTGGAGCAGGCACAAGCACAGTTAGTTGGCAGCTGTCACTTGGCAGCTCCTCACTGCTCCCTCCTTAGTTCCTCCACTTTGTGAACAGTCTTCTGCCCTTCTAGGAGCTAATTTATAAGGGTGCTTTACTTGTTCTCTCTCCCCCTCATCTCCCCCACCCTCCCAGCTGCTAATTCCACACTGATGTCCTGTGGGCCTGGGGCAGGTAGACAGGTCTGACTCCTCTGCCACTACTCGGAGGTGATGATTGTGTGGGCCAGGAGGGAGCAGAGCTAGAACAGAGCAGGATCACATCCCTACCTCTCTATACATTGCAAATAGCAGTAATTCCAGGCCTGTTCCATCAGCCCTGTGCTTTGTGCAAGTGCTGTGCAGTTGCAGAATTGTTCTTGGAGCAGCCTAATGCTGGCCTCTCTTCCTGCAAAGCTGGCTCTTCTGTGACCCTCTCTCAGCAGTACACCAGCATTCGCAGGTACATGGTGTGCCCAGAGTATGAGCACCCCTGTGCATCCTTCTGCTCCTATCCTGCTGTGCAGAGCAGTAGTGGGGCTGGCTGGCTGCTGCCAGGCAAAAATGGGGCTGCAGAGTTTGTCTCTTTCCTCAGGTGAGGACCAGTTAGGGTCTCACTCCTGCCTGACCACCCATTTCCACAAAACTTATGGGAACTTAGCATCTCTGAAACCTTTGTCTTGACTAAATTTTATTGAATTGGTCACTCCAAAAGGCTGAGTAGAGGAAAGGACTGCTAGATGGGAAAAAGTCAATACAATGCATGTTAGTAAAGCCCATGCATTTTGGGACTGCAGGAGGAGATTCCTTGTTTGAGGCAGGTGCAGGTATAGTGGTGGAGTAGCATTGTCCCCTTGTGTGTTGATGGATGGATTTCCACCCTAGGAAACAAGGCCTGGTTTATGGCCTCTCCAACTTGCTCAGTGTTTGCCAAAAGCCACAGAAACTCCATTGAATTTCTGGCTCTACAGACTGTCAGTGTCTGCCCCTATTTTTGCAGAATTATCTCTGCACGTTCCCAGAACAGAGTGGCTTGAGGCTTAATTCTCATTCCACCTCCCACTGGTATCCACATTCTCCCTGCTTCTGTGTTCCTGGATGTTGGAAATCATCTGCTTTCTCCGAGTGTATCTGTGAAAGTCTGCTTTTATTAGAAGGATAATCAAGACTTAAAAATAGAGCTAAACATAGGTGGTCGAATTACTTAACATGTTCAGCTTGTCCTTGCATAGCTGGACAGGACACACTGCCCGGTGCAGGTGCAGTGAGGGTGGAAAGCTGGTAGTGCCCATCCATCTCCTCCCATCCATCTGTCCTCGGTGTTCTAGATACCAGCATCCTCCTCCCTGTGGACACGCACTTGAAGGCCCTCACTGGGATCAGCTTGGGTGTTCAGGCATGGCCCCTCTTACCTCCGTCCGTGCCCCTGTCCTGTGGCAAAATCCGTTTCTGTGGCAGGGTTCTGTTGCTTTTAAATTTGCACAAAACAGGTTTTATTAAGAAATTCCCTTTTGCAGGGAAAACTTATTTATTTATTCCTTGTGATCCTTCCAAGTTTTTTCCGGTTTCTGCCTGATTCCACAAGCAACCAGACATTCCATGTCAAGGACAGAGAATCCTGTCTAGATGTTCCTCTTTGCTCACAGGTAGCAAGTTCAGTGGGCACCAGCAGAGAGAGCCCTGCTACCGTGGCCAGTCCCCTGCTGTGGGACACAGGGATGTCACTGCTCCAGGGGACTCCCAGGACCGTGATGTTCCCGAGTGGCAGGCACCCAGCTTTATGTAGTGCTGTGGTCAGAGGGAGGGACTTGCTTTTGCCGTGGTCTGGCTGAAAGGCTAAGAACTGATCAGTGTTAAGATAAATATAAATCTCCGTTAGTGTGTTTGAATGTCTCTCCCTTTGGCAGGATGAAGCACAGCTGGCACCCACATGATGTAGATGGGAGAGCTCTTGCTTTCATTTGTCTGGTGGCAAATTCAGGCTGTACCTGAAAGCTTTTTTATTTTGGGAGAAATGATGGCTGATTTTTTAAAATTAAAATAGAGGGTTCTTGGATGCTGCTGCTTTGGTGGAATGCCATTTCTTTTTCAGGGTGTGCCCTGGTTGCAGCAAGATGCTGCTTGCTTTTTTTTTTTTTTTTTTTTTTTTAGTTTTTTTTTTTTTTTTTTTTTTTTTTTTTTTTTTTTTAAATGTGTGCCTTTCTTGTGGGGATGGTTATTTTGGTTTCCAGAACACCCAGGGCATTTGCTCTTGTAGTATTTTTCCTGATCTGTGTCGTGGTGACTCTGCTCTCTCCCAGCCTTGTGACTTGGTGTCTGTCTGTCTGTTATGGTATGGCCTGACCTGCATTTATGCCCTGCCACACCTTAGGTTCTGCTCAGAGCACCCAAGGTACTGTCTTTCTCAAGTTTGAATTAATAATTAATATAAAAAGCTTGAAAAAAAATCTGAATTTTGTTACATAGTGTAATAACTGTTTGTAGATACTGTTCTGAGATGTAGGAATCTATTGGTGATATAAGAGGTTTTGTCTGTAAATAATCAGTTTAGAGTCAAAATGATTTTAATAAAGAGAATTCTTACACAATAATTCAATAAATTTTAATATACAACCTCTGTGTCATGCTAGTATTGCATGCTGATGCAATTACACAGAATGTATTCGCCTCTTTTTCTTCCTAAGTGGAAGCTGTGCTCTTAAGCACCAGGACTTGGAAGCTGTGTGAAGAAGGAGGCTTTTCCCTCCTCCCTAGCTGTGTTTCTTCAAGTGAACCTTGTGCCACTTTCCACCTGCATCCCTTTGCAGTTTCCAGAGCTCAAATACCATCCCTGCCCACTGGAGCAGGCAGTCTCCCTCCACAGCCTTGGGCTGGCACTGGGGCCACCTGGTGCGTGGCAGCTTGGGTTGTGGTCTCTCACTGTGGGTAAGGGCTGTTGAACCATCACTGTTGGTCAGTGTTGGAGCACTTGTGTGAGGCAGAAACCGGCGCTCCTAATTTACCAAAACAATTTTTAAATTAATTTCACAGTTCTTCCCAGACAGCAATCTGGCTCCTGGCCCATCTGTCCTCTTTCCTTCCCTCCCCTTCCTTTACTAGCAGAGTCCTGCACAGTCTGCTTCTCCCCCTCCTTTAGTCCCTCCTCTCTGCACTCCGAGTGTTCTTGTTGTCCTTTACGGGGTCACAAACCACTTGTCCCCTGCACGCTGCCCCGCAGGGCTCAGCACCGGCCTGGCGCAGCCTCTGCCCCCTCCCTTGGTATTTTTAGTGCAGGGAAGGCAGGTGAGAGCAGAGGGGCACAGGCAGGGGGAGAACCACTCTGGGAGGCCCTGGCCTGGGTTTGGCAGCCTGGAGCCGCAGCAGAGCTCCTGCAGGCAGGGTTAACCCTTTGCTGCAGGGCTGGGACCTGCTCTCTGCAGCCTCCGCCAGGAAACCCGAGCTCTGCGAGCCCAGGGCCCCAGCGAGGGGGAGCCGGGCGTGCCCAGCTCCGGTGTGAGGCTGCAGCTTGTGGCACTGGGGGGAAAAAATGTGATTCTTACTGTGCGTGGCCTTTTCCTCCCCAGTGTTGCATGGCGCTGGGATGCTCGTGTGCCCCCAGGGCTGTGGGGAGGATGCTGCTGTGTTTGCTCTCCAAGAGACAGGAACAGGGGCAGCGTGGGCTCTGTGGCCACCAGCACCATGCTGTGCTGGTGCTGGGCTGTGTGCAGGCACTGCTGGAGAGGCTGAGGTTCCCCAGCTCCGGCAGTGTGGCACACGGGCTGGCCTGGGAACAGGGATGGCTCTGCCTGGCAGAAGATGGTGCCACAGGAGCCAGTCCTGCTGCCACACTGCTGGGAGCAGGGGGAAGAGTCGGGCAGCCCCACGGTTTCTGGGTCTGGAGAAGGCAGAGCAGAGGGGGAGGACTTCTCTGTTTCCATCTCAGTAGAGCTGTGAATTTCCCGCTATAAATAGTTGCTGTGGAGACTGAATCTACTGCAGGCTGACAGGCCTGCTGCCAGGGAGGCAGGGAGAGGCCAGCAGTAAAGTGAATCCACCGCAGCTGTCTGAGGTCTCCTGCTCTCCCAAAGCCAAGATTGTTCCCAGAAGTGGTGCTGTGATCTGATACCCTGCCCCACTCCTCACCATGTCCATCCAGCGATGCAGAACTTTGGTGGGCTCAAGGACATCCCTCCTGGGACAGTGCAGACTAAAATCAGAGCAGGATCAGCTGGTATCTCGCTTTGGGGAGCTCCAGAGCGAGCCAGATGACAAAGGGAATGGCGTGTCCTACCCCTGAGCTGCTGCATGGTGAGTCTGGGCTGGGCCCTGGGGCTCAGAGCCCTGCCAGGGCTGCTTGTGTGCTGCATGCCATGACTTGCAGGGGTGCTGTGCTCAGCAAGGGCTTGTAGGTCTGTGGTGGTGCAGAAGCTGGAAGTGTGTGTTGCTCTGGTGAGTTCTGCTACTCCAAAGGTCCAGGTGTCATAAGGCATGACTGGTGTTGGCCAGCTCTGTACACTGTTCGTGCCAGTTGGGTGGAGGAGTCCAGGCCATTGCTCCTTGTCCATGGCTCTCACAAGCTAGGCAGGAGCAGTTCTTGGGCTGAAGTTCTCTGAGCTAGTCCAGGCTTGCAGCAATTCAGTGGGTTCTCCACAAAATAGTTGGAATGACAGAAGCAAAATAAGTTGTATTTAATGTGAAAGTGTCAAGAAATGAAGGATTAAAAGCACCAATTGTCCTTTATCACAAAGCTTAGAAAAGTGCATTTCACTTTCCTGTTCCAAGTTGCATAGCAACACTCTTCATCTTTTGCCAGTTCTTCCATCCAGAGAGGGTGGATGGAGGTAAATCTTGCATGCCTAAGGATAGACTTGTCTTGCCTCTGCAGCAACAAGGCCACCAGGGCCCAGTGAACTGCCAAAAAGCTCCATCAGCCCTAGGGCTGTCTTATACTTTGGGTCTGCCTCTGGGTACTATTTTCTCACTGAAGTCTCCTATCACCAGAACACTCCACTAAGGGAAGAAGCTGTTGAATTCCCATCTCCACACACTCATGTGTTTTCCTTTAGCAGGTGAATGGTAAGCCATGGAATTAAAGCTTGCTTGCTCTCAGCTCAGACCCTGCTGTCCTCATGGTGTGAGTGAAGAAGGCTCAAGCAGATGCTGGTGGTGCTGGAGTGTGTGAGGGTATTGGTAAGCTTAGTCTGTGCACAAATAAGGAAAATTTTGATTTCAGTTCTGTTTCATAAGTGAGATGTCAGGGTGCATTTACTGTAAAGAGTGGCCATGCAGACATGCAGCATCCAGTGGTTTATACCCAAAGAGGCTGATTCTGAACAGCAATGCAAAGGTTAGAGGTGCAGAGATGTGAGGAGGGGGACTTCTGTGCAGGCATGGGTGAACTGAGTAACATCGTCTCTGGCACTTTGGGTTTTCCTTGACAGGATGAAAGTCTTGAGCCCAGTCTGACCCTTAACTAGAACTCTGTTGGGAGCTCACTGGATGCCCAAAGGCAGGCTGTGCCTCTGGCTGCTGTGCTGGGAGAGGAGCATCAGCACATGGAAAGAAACTTTAATGTTTTGAGGAAGGCAAAACATTGAGTCAAAACAGGTGCTCTGTCTCAGCAGCTGTAAGATGTTACAGTTCCAGAACAATTCCCTGCCACCAGCACTGCCAGCCCTCTATAACTATTTCTGAAAATCTTCTGGTTCAGATGAGTTCTTAGCTTTAGCAACATAATTTGGAGGATTTAAAGTTCAATATTTCTATCTGTGCTAATGCTCTATGGGCATTACTATCACCTGTCTCGAGCTGACAGTGTGTGCTAGCCTGAAGCTGCAGCTGTACAGCAAGTGACATTTCCAAATTATGAAAGGCTGGGTTGGGAGTGCCCCAGCTACTGTGGCTTAAATCTGTATTTCATTAGCAGCAAGGGCTCTGGGCTGCTATTTCAGATGACCTGTACTGAATCCAGTCCTACGTTGGTGCTGTAGCACTAGGGGACAGCAGTTGGAACAGCCTGACTGTGCTGTCTTGGTGTTTATGCTTGGGACTGTCATAGTAACAAACCCCAGGAGCAGCCCCTTGCCAGGATGTCCTGTGGCTTTGCTGGGATGTCACAGGATGGTCAGTGATAAACCCGTGCTCCAGCCCCAGGGCTGGACTGCGGGCAGAGGAGCAGCACTGTAATGTTGAGAATGCAAGTTCTGTTTCACACCCCTCTGGAGGAGGAGCCTTCTCCTGACAGCCAAAGCCCAAATTTCCTCCTCAGCCAGGATGGGGGCAGGGAGGGGGTGCTTTCCCTGGCTGTGGGAGGGGATCCCACAGACCCTGCTAAGCCCCTGAAAATACACACTAGGAAACCTGAGACTCCCACCTGGCCCTGGCCTGGGACCAGCCTGCCAGCTTTCCTCTTCTGAACTCTTAAAATAATCCATCTCCCTGAAGTGCCAGAAGTGTTTGTAACAGCCTGACTCCAAGAGCTGCTGAAGGGAATGGGAAGGAAAGGGGTGAGGGAACAGCAGATATGGCCACCCTGCAGCTCTCCAGCTCTCTTGGAAAGAAGCTGAAGCTCACACTGCCCATGTCCCACTGCCTCCATCCCCTTGTGCCAGGATCTGCTGTGCTCCAGGGCCATGGAGGAGCAGGTGCAGCAGGAGATGCCATCAGCCCAGCACACAGGTCAGCCCTTGGCCATGAGGCTCCAGAGATGAGATCATGCCAGACTCTTCCCAGGCTAGAGGAGCCCACTGGGACCTGTCAGGCTGTCCTCAGCTGCTCGTTCAGTCTAAAAGCATTTAGAGATGTCATTAATATCTCTTGGTGATGGTTTTCCACAGGAGCCCACCACCCCATGCAGGAGGGAGAGGTGTTCAACACGCAATACCAGGTGCTGCACAAGCTGGGATGTGGCGCCTTTGCCACTGTCTGGCTGTGCCAGGACATGAGGTGAGGGGCTAAGTGCCATTCAGGGAGGTGGGAAGGGGTGGCTGATGTCCTGGGCAGGGCTGGCCCCTCTTGCAGAAACAGCAGAGCACAGTCTGGGAGCATGCCAGGCATCCCTGAGCACAGGGAAAACCTGACAGCAAGATCAGTGGGGTGCAATGAGCAGAGCTGGTCCCCAGAAATCAAAGAATGTAAATGAGGTGGGATCAGCCCTTGCTCTACGTTTTCTTTTCTTCTTTAGACCCTGCAGTATCCATGCTCTTTTTCTCTCCAGTCCCTTGTTGGTCCCTGGGGCAGATGTGCTGCCAGATGCCAGCAGGAGGAATGCCCATGGGCCTGGCATGCTGCAAACCGAGGCCAAGGGTGCCTGCAGAGGGGCAGCACCTTCCCTGGGGAGCCCAGGGCTGGCTGACTGGGAGAAAGGGAAGAGCTGCTGGTCAGGGCCACTGACATGCATTGGCTGACAGCTGTGGTTCATTTCCCAGGAGGAAGAAGCAGGTAGCTGTGAAGGTTCTGAAAAGCAGGGAAAGCTTTGCTGACACTGCTCAGGATGAGGTTGCTTTCCTCCGCTGTGTAAGTATATTCTGTGGGTCTGTGCTTTGCTCCAGTGGATGGCCACTGAGTTCAAGTTTGAGTATCAGCCTCATCATCCCCTCTGCCTCCAGGTTTCAGTCCAAGGAGCTAGGTGGGGAATAGGAGAAAAAACCCCAAAAGCTGGGGAATTAACAGAAATTACCCTGGCCCAGCACTGGCCTCTGAAACAGGCATTTTCTCCTTCTTGCATCATACTGGGATATGCTGGCTGTGTCCCACTTGCTCTATCAGCCCATTTCTTTTAGCTGGGACTGAAATCCAGCAAAGAGGAGTAATCTGGAGAATGATAAGGTAGATAATCAACATAAGAAGGTGGTGATGTTCTTAAAGCAGGAGACGGGAGCATGTCTATTGTACCTGTATCATTCACAGAGGAACATCACTCAGAGGATATTGCTGTATCATAACACTGATATGGAAGAAAAAAAACCATATCTGCAATAGAAAAATATATGATGTACCAAAACACAAGAAACATCCAAAGTCAGAAAACTTCTGGCCTCTGCTAATGGAGGTGATAATTAGGTGCCTGTATTTGGGTTGTAGCAAGTTGCCTTTGAAATTGGCTTGAAGTGCTAGTTCTAGAAAGCTTGTGGTTACAATTCTTCAAGTTTGTTCAAATACAAAGTTACATCAGCTTCAGATGAGTAAAAGCTATTAAATTCTGCATTTTAAATTACTCTGTGGCCTTTCTCCAACAGGTTTAAGAAAGGTTTAGTTAACACCTGTAAATCTGTAGGCCTTATCTAAAAGGAGATGAGCCAGATACAGTGATGCAAGAGGAAGTACCAAGTGGCACCAATTTAATGTAATCAGAGGGCTGCTTTTCTACACATCAGCACAACCCTGTGTAGAGAGTGAGCCTTACCCCTGATTTATTATTAATTCTGAGAGACATGCCTGCCCATTCAGCAGCACACAGCTGTTTCCCAAGGCTTGTTCCCACCAGCACTGGGGGGTTAGTGCCTGCAGAGCTGCCAGAAGAGATGATCTGGTCTCTGCTTCCAGGGCTGCTCACTTCTGTTATGCCAGAACAAACCTTCTAGCACTGCTGCAGGTGGATCTGGTATCTGCAAAATGAGCCAAACCAAAACCCTGGCAGCTGTGGCCGTGAAGAGAGGAAAAAAACAGCATGAATTGCTGTATCAGGATAAGTGCTCTGGGAGAGCAAACCCCTGGTGCTCCTTGTCACACAGGTGTGTGGTGCTGGGGGTGCTGTAGTACCTGTGCCTGGAGGTTCACCCAGCACAATACCCTGGGCCAACAGCACATATCCAGGTGGGTGTAAGGACAAGCTGAGCACAGGGTGCTGCTCCCACTGAATGTAAGGACCAGCTGAGAACAGGATGCTGCTCCCACTGAATGCTCCCCTGGCCTGTTGCAGTTTCCAGCTGCAGATTCCTCAGGCCAAGGATGATGCTTGTATCGGCAGGAATTCTCAGTGGATTTACCTTGAACACTTGCAAGCCCCTGTGAGGTTCAGTAACCACAGCTCCCTGTAACAAGAACTGTCCCCAGTCACCCATGTGCTGTGTGAAGAACCATCTCTGCTTTGTTTTTAGACCTATTGGGTATAAAACCTGCTGGGTTTGAAGACCCCTGGCTCTAGTACAAAAGATGTGTTCACCCTCTCCACTACCCCTCTGTATCCTATAGATCACTTGCCCACAGCCAGCCCTTTTCCAGCACAAAGAAGCCTCCTTCACTGTGTTCTTCCAGCTGTGGAAGCTCTCCCTACCCTGATAAGACAAGTAGCATTCAAGTGGCCAAAGACAGCCACAATGCCTCTGCCTCTCTGCAACCCCTTGAGGGAAATTGCCGAAGGGCTGGTGTGAGGTAAAGGAAATGGACAACCACTGATGCTGGGAGCAGGGAGCTGTCTTCTTGAGGGAATCCCCTTCCAGCACAAGCAGGAGCATTTTCTGGTCTGCCTGGAGAAAATAAGCAGCAGGAAATGTGCTAGATATGATCAGCAGGACTGGTGTGGGTTGTTTTGACACTGAGTGTGATGGTCCCACCTGGTTAAGAGCAAGACAAAACATACAGAAACTCATTCCTGTTTTTCCTGATGTTGTTTTCATAGGATTTGTCATGAAGTGCCAGAAGAGAAAGTCTGTCAGACAGGATAAAACAGGTGCAAAGTGTCCTTGTGCACATATATGTCTGATTGCAGCTTTCTTGGAATCCTCCCCCTCAGGTAAACTGCATGAAGAAGAAGGACCTGGCAGGAGAAAACATTGTCTGTTTGTTAGATGACTTCAGGATGATTGGAGAGAATGGCTTCCATATCCTTCTGTGGAGAGTGCTTTTCTGGGCCAGCAAAGCCTGGGCTTGCCTTGGCGAGGATGGTGTAAACCTGAGTGCTGTGCTGCCATGGGGAGGATGAGCAGGGCTGCAGCTGGAACAGGGCACATGAGCATGGCTGGAGGGGAGAGGTTGAATTAGGAGGTATTTGATTGCTTTGCTGAAAGGCAAAGTTGCACCTTTCCCTGTTAATGAATCCCTAACTCTTTCCCACATGCGTGCCTGGTATTTGAGGTGCTGGGTCCTTCCATCCGATGTCTGATGGGAAACTACAGAGCCCAGGGACTGCCCTTGCCTTTTGTGAAGAAGTCTTTACAGCAGGTGAGAACTTAACTGCAATCAGACAAGGGAGCCAAGGGGCTGTTGGCTGTGGGACATGCCACAATCTTCCTCCCAAGGGGAAGGACTTGGGTGTTACTGCCTATGCCTGCAGCCTCCTCAGGTTTGGGAAGGAGTCAGGGCCACGAAGTGCCAAAAGCCTGCAGATGTACACCAGGGAGTCAGGGCTGGAATTTCTGTTCCCACCAGCTCAGTAATATCTGCTGCTTGTAGAAGTAGCAGGGGACAAAGAGCCTGACATAGTTGTACTTCTTGTGGGCAAACCATCTCTGCCCTCCTGCTGCCCAGAGAAGTCCCCTCTGGCAGTAATGCCAGACTGCTGGCATTTGCCTTGGCATCCGGCTGTGGGTAGCACTGTCAGCTCCAGCAGCTTTCTGCATGGTACCACTGAAGGCTGCTCAAGGTCTCCCTCCCATCTTTACACAAATTTCCAAATTGCTGATTTGGTCAGCTGGTTCTTTTTCCATGTTGAGGTTTTCCTGCGCAGAGCCAACTTTTCTTTCATCCCCTGTAATGATGTGTTCTGACTATTTAAAAGATGGTGAAAAGTGAGTTTCCTCAGGGCTGGCTCTGCTTAAGGAATGGGAAACCCAAGTGAGGCCTCAGAATAGTTAAAATTACTTTTTGCCTCTCATGCTGAGATTCATCAGAAGTCTGCACACTTGCCAAGATGAAGATTTGCTACCCTGATTCCTGTGCCCTTCTAGGGATACTAAGAAAGAAAATTGCTTCCTCCTTCATCCTATTTTCTGTAGTAGCCTCTCCTTTCTATAAAGAAGCTCCACTAACACCTGAGTAAGTTACACAAAAATGTAGTGCCATTACCTCTGTGCTCCATTTCACACTCAGGCTTTTGCTGATACATTATCTGCTTTAATTGTAAAATCTCAGTTCTGTTTTCCCCCTTCAGATCAGCACCAGGGCAGTATTTACTTCTGATTCATTCCAGTTTAGTTATTTAAATCTTTCCTCACATTTCACAGTTACCATTTAAGGTTGATATTTCCCTGGGGCTGGTGTTCATCCAAGAATAGAATTTGATAATACAGAGAATATTTACCAGTCCTTTATGACTGACCAGAGTGTAAAAAAACAAACCTAAATCTCCCCGTAGCCTTTCCTCTGTTACTGATTTCTGATAGTGAGTGTTCATCTCTGGTAGGTGCTGTTTATCTCTCCCCTGTGACAGGCCAGGCTCTCCCTGCTGCATCACAAGCTGTTCTTTCCCTACATGGCTCTCCTGGAGGGCTCTGAAATCCTCTCTCTGCACTCACTCATGGTCTCTCCCCCTCCTGTCTGTGTTAGCCTGTGTCTTCTTTCCTTGTATGATGGGACACCCTTCCATGCCTGTCATTGACACCAGTCCCTTTACATGTCACTGTCATTCGAATGGAAGTTGGGGGCTGGTTAGAAACAGTGGCAAGGCACAGAGGTCCCAGGACTCAACAACCATACAAACAATAATGTTTTCTAAGGAAAAAGTTCAGCTTTGTAATCATAATAGCCTCCTCACAGCCCCATCCTCCTCCCACCTCCCTGGGCTTGCCCATCCATGCTGATATCTGTGGATTATCACGCTGCCTTTTGCTGTGTGTCACCCCAAACAGCCCTTTCCTCACTGGGCTGTCCAGGCCTTCACTTGCTCCTGGGGCTCTGCTGCTCTGTGAGGTGATGAAACCCTTGTGCCTGCTCCCATATG